AATGAATATACCAGATTATCATCCTCGAAATCCCAGCAGGATCCGCGTCCAAACTCGTAATCCACGTCGTGATCTAACTCCGTTAGCTGAATCTCGTGCGTCGTTATATAGTGTGACTCTACGTCCGCTACGCTCGCGCTGTCCTTGGATTCGCAGCGACTGTTCAAGTACATGTCGGTGTATTGTAACTCCTCCGTTTCATACGACTCAGACTTTGGATCTTCGGATTTTACATCGGTTCCCGCGTCCACATAATGATCTATCAGCGGAGCGCGCTCTCCACAAAGTCCCTCCGAATGGCACTTTCCCGCGTGGCATGCTTTCGATGAACTTTTATCGGCATTTCCAGTCTCCTCTCGCACTCCAGGACTCTTCATCCCGGCGATGGATGCATCGCCTTTACATTTGAATATTGCCAGTTGGTTCCCTTCGCCTGTGAAAGTGACTTTTACTGTCTTTGTGCTGTCTGACTTCTTGTCCGATGGGTTGCCCAGGTCTACATAATTTGTTTCGCTGTGATCGTCACATTTGCAGTGCTCTTTAGTGTCTGCCAGTGGCTTTTTTAACGGTCCAGTGTCCTCTCTAATCGAGATGGCCGTTTGAAGTGTCTCCATCTGCTCTTAACGGCGTCCCGCACGGAGATCAGTGGGTGTTGCCTCTGACACCGGACCGCAGTACGGTTTGTGTGAGTGAGTGAACTGGTCCTGTGCGTGCGCGAGGGGCAAGTGACAAGTGGGCGAGGGGAGACGCTGCGAGGACGATAGAGGGAGGGGAGAGAGAGAGAGAGAGAAAGAGTTGTCCACTGAGTCTCACTGCACAGGTATGATCCCCTTACCGCTAATCATAGGTCTAGTAATGATAATGACGTAATGCTATAAATGATGACTGCATAGCTGACATTAACTTGACGCTTTTTTAGATTGTCCTCTAGGCAAGGGCAACTATGGACTTAAACTAATACACATAATTATATTTCAGGATGTCTGGAAATATTTCGATGTTAAGGGGTTTAGACATTGGGGAATACGTGAGCAATTTATATTTATAAAAAAATATATATATATTTTTTAATTGAAAAATGCCATATCCCATATTTTGCTCACAAAATTTCAGTTGAAGTTTAAAAATATCCATAAACCAGCCATGAGAATTATTTATGTATTTAATGTATTAGTAAACTATTATTTACTGTTGTTGTTAATTATATTATTAAACTATTACTACACTAATAATTAAACAAATTAAATAAAAGAATAATGTTTTTGCTTATAAAAATCCTGTAATGGATTGAACAAAAGGCATTATAGTGCATTAGTACAATCTTCAGGACTGTGTGGAAATGTATTGAATATAGTTGTTGCCGGTAGCATCATAATGCATTATTTCGTGGAAAAAATCCTTGATAATTTTTCTTTGATAGGTGGGATTCTCTTTAACGGCATGCCTTTAAATTTGGCTCCCACTCCAAGATTATTAGTGATAGTAAGCCTTGTAATATTAAGGTTTTCATCCAAATTCAATAACTATGACTATTAATTCAAACACTGGCACAACTGACCCCAACGCTTCTGACACTTCTGTTACTATTTTAGGAAGAATGCCTCATATGTAATAATTCACAGCTAGCCTTGCCATAAAAATACATGATTCATTCATCAACAAGTTTTAAATATCTATGTTTTGACCTAAATAAATTTAGTTTCAAATAATATTTGTGAAGAATGTTTATTTTGACATGCAAAAGAGAGTTTGCAGAATTCAAACAATGCTTGTCAGTTTCTTTTTTTCATGCACATCTCTTAATCATAGGCAGCTGTATATGATGTGTCCTTAATAAATATTCATTCACATGACAAATATTGTGGGCAGTTTCCTAGATCAAAGGGATGACATGATACCCCATTCTCCACTACTCTACACAGGTATTATTAGACATCATGTCATAGTCCACAAAGCTTAGAGCAAAACACTGTGCTCAGAAGAGCCGTGGGTCTATTGTGGGCGTGCGCCTCCTAGAAGTGCATAACCGCTCACATAATGCGAGTATAGAAACATTTGTTGTCAACTCAATGTTATCAATGTCCGCCTCTGGCCCACGACAGCTGCATGCCCATATTAGAGCCAGTGCCTGCTGCCAACCGTACAGAAGGCAAGCTGGCCCTGGGAAAGAGACGTGAGAACCACAACCCAACAAAGAGAGAGAGAAAAGAACAACTGCAGAGGTGTGAGGGATATGACAGTCTGAAATCATGGCATCCAGTAAGAAAGAAGGCAACACAGACTTATACAATAAATCCAAGATGTTGACATTCAGTCTAATAACAGCATGTTCACCTATAAATCCTAATTTTTAAAATGCAACATGAAACCTTTACCTTGATAATGCTTTAAAGGAAATAGTGAAAGACAGAGGCTATAGTTGTCACATGGAGAACTTTCAAAAACTGTAAAGGTTCCTTAGGAAATATATCTCAGTCAAAATCCAGTAATTTTTACAGTTTACAGTAATTTTTTATGTTGGTTACAAACACAAAGTTAAAACTTTTAATCACCTAGTAAACCTTTTACATCAGATTTTCTGTTCATTTTATCTTCCAAAATAAAATTCCAGTATTATCATGTTTCTGTAAAAGAATACTTTTATGTAAAATTTAATGAAGCTCATCCACAATAAATCCAAATTGGCTTAGACGACTGCTTAAAGGACTGCCATAAGGTTTTCTGGACAATAACCATAAATGTTCAATATCCTACCATATATGTTGCCAAGAAATTGACCTTCAAAAATAAACCTACGAGAGAAAATATGCTAAAGTGTAACAAAAGAGATATGCTAAAGTGTGACAATTCATTTACATATGTCATTTACTTTTAAATAGTATGCCAACATTTAGAAATACTAACATTTTGTCATAAAGAAGAGGAAACATTTTATTAATACTATATATTTATATATACATATTTACAGTAGGGTTTAACAATTTGTTAACATTAAGTAAATTAAGTGTTAATAACTTTTTAAGTCAATGTTCATTTATAAATATTGTACCGTTACATTTTAAATCATTTGCATTCGTAATACAATAACTAATGCTAATTTATGTAATTTAAATATTAACTTTTTAATTAGTTATTAAATTGAATTAATTAATTTCATTAGGTACTATTATTAGTATGTGTAGAAATTAACATTTACCAAGATTGAAAGGTGCTGTAAAAATATTGTTTATTCATATTTTATATTAATTATTGCACTAAGAAATAAAAACAGAACTTCACTGAACTACTCATATCTGAATGTACATGAATTGTTAAGCATTTTACAGTTGTCTATCAATTTTACTGATTATTGAACATTGTTATAAAGTGTTAAATGTAACTTTTAGCACCTAATAAAATAAACTTTGACCAAAAAAGAAACCCTACTAACTTTTTTTAGTAGAGAATTGTAGTGAAAAATGTATCAAAAATTGAAAAAAGATGCCAGGTTGCACATATACCCCTCCCAGTGGTTAATCTATCCTCCAGAGCCGTAGAGGAGCCGAGTATGGGGCACCTATTTAGAACACTTGCTAACAGTATGTAAAGCATTTGCATATGGAGTAAATGGGCCGGCACACATCTCATGTATTACCATCACGCGTCTGAAAGGGAGGGTAAAAGATGGATCCACTATGACAGCTGTATATATAACAGACTACGCTGATGGTTCAGAGAGGTCGTTTTCACACCAGAACGAAAGCTGCTTACAAACCTTTCGGTGTCTGAATTTTTAACGACCTCCACAAAGCTGTTAAATTTAGGCAGCTATTTAAAATGCGGACGCCACGCATGCAAGCACTTCGAGATCAGTTACTCACAGAGGGCCATATAAAACAGCAGGTGGCAAATCATGAGTGCCATTAATCAAAGCACAGGCATTAGCGTGGTATGTCCTTCTCTCTTTCTCTCTCACTCTTCTGTGCATTGCTGGTCTTTCGGCCTTACATTGACCCTAGAGGTCAGCAGCAGCGCAAGACACTAGGCAATCTATACAATTTCTATACCAAAAGCAAAAGTTACAGCGTTACACGGCACTAAATAAATGTGCCTGTAAATGCATTAAGCTCCTTTGTAGTTTATGTTCAAGCTCAGATTAAGCTATACTATACATTATATATATAAGTTTTCACCTGTAACTATCAACAAACAACCCTTTAGATCTATTATTACAATACTACAATACAATTTAGCAGGTAGCTCGTCTCATGTCCCTGTGTGCATTAGTTGAGTCAGTGTGAATGATGATAAAAGCGTGGATGGTTTTAAATTTCAGAACTGCTATGCTGAGACTTCACAATTAGGTCATAAGAACGCACCAGGCATGAGAACAGAAATAAAAATGCCCCACTAAAAGGAATGCCCCACTGAGGAATGAATTCATTAACCTTTGTGACGTTAACACTGTCAAATAATTCTGCATCCACTGTATGTCCATAGTTTACATGAGTTTTGACATGTAACAAGCTCTGCCCATACACTACCGTTCAATAGTTTGGGGTCAGTAAGATGCATTAAATTGTTTAAAAGTGACAGTTAAAGACTAAAAAAAAATTATATTTCAAATAAATGCTGTTGTTTTGAACTTTCTATTTATCAGCTAATCCTGAAAAAATGTATCACAGTTTCCACACACACAAAAAAAAGTGTTTTCAATATTGATAATAATAGTAAATATTTCTTCCTGAAGGATTGTGTGACACTGAAGACTAGAGTAATGGCTGCTGAAAATTCAGCTTTGTCATCACAGGAATAAATTACATTTTAAAACATTAAATCAGGAACCAGCTATTTTAAATTGTAACAATATTTAAAAAAAAAAGATATTGATCAAATAAATGTATCCTGTGAGCATAAGAGACTAAACAAATCATCTTACTGAACAGTAGTATATAATACATATACCACGTAAACTACATTTGTATTGTATAAGAAACTATAAAGTTATTGTCACATTTTTTTATTTGGTATTACTAACTTCAGGAGTGACATTTCAGGACATTGCTGGAGATGTTCTTCATTTGGTGATATTCTACAGTGGGCCAAAGGGGCCAAAGACTAAAAAGCTAACAAGATATAAGGCGAACACAAATGACAGCAATGCAAGGCATGTGTAACCCTGCCTTAGTGGACACCATGACAAAAGGAACGTTCACACACTCACACTCTCAAAAAAATGGGCATGTGGTCCGATCATACAGTATGTGCCCCTGAAGAATAATAATATGCATGTTTGCCGTCATCGAGACATCAGATAATAAAAGCTGATAATGTAAACCGAATGGAGAAACATTTCCTAATATGAAAAAAGAAAACATTTATTACAAACACACAAAAAATTATTTTTAAACAAACATTTCATAGACCAAATTCATTATTTCTAATACAGCAAAAAGTATCTAGCCAGCCTTGGCATGAAAGGTGAAGAAGAAAGTGGCCATTGAGGAATGAGTGCATTCGTGTTTCTTGTGAATTGGGAAGTCTGATACTCTCAATAGGCACACAGACAGACTGAAACACAACACCGTGAGAGAATCTCTTGTATGGAATCATCAATATCTCTTACCGAACAGACAGGCACTGGACATTACGAGGTTGGAGAGTGAGAAATGAGATCCTGTTACCACTTCAACTCTGGCCTAATTTGGTGCTTCCGCCTAGTCGTTATGATATTCAGGAATGATAATATCACATTTGAGAGGGCAGATTTTTGGTAGTCACATCCTAAATATTAATTACAGCGTGATATGGTGTAATATTTAATATTACCATTTGCATTTTCTTCTCTATTTCACAGATACAGAGTATGTCCAGCAGTGTGTTCCCCCATAAATGCCAAAGAACATCAACCTTACATCATCTATCATTTTGACCAGAGTTTTCTGACAATAGTAGCTCTACAGTGCCCTCTTGTGACTAAATCTAGAGCGACATACTCTAATCGTATCTGACACTACTGTAATGCTGACATTTCTAAATTTCAGAAGGCATAAACGCAAAACAGCACCACTATGTTGGTTAGGAGTTTCAGATACTCCAAACTGGTTCAAGTGGAAACTGATGCAAACCTGTTTTGGTACCTGGACTGCAATCCAAGAGAATGTGTCGAGAACCGGAAACAAAATCAGGATTACTCTTCGCTGACCTGGATCCGGACCCTGCTTCTTCCCTAAACAGTAGCCACAGCAGTGAGACCTCGAAGACGTATTTACATTTTCTCAAAAGTGAGTTCGTGTCCACATGTTTGACACACTTTCCTGTAGAGATCTTCCTCTTCGTCTAGCAGCTCCTCGGGGCCGTAAACATGCTGATGAATGCTGGTATCTTTCTTAAACATACTGCTCCTTACTGCCCGCCTCAGCTCTGAAAGCCAGATGAAGATGGAGAGCAATGTATAAATACACACTGTGACCAAATGTAGTCGGTCACAGTCGATTCATTCAAAGGTATGCTCATTTAATCACTAATCAGTATATAATTTCTTGAAGTCTTCAACCTTATTAAGTGGAAAATTATTTTAGAGCACATTTAATTTAATGGTCTGTCTGACCATCCAAGAGTAACTGCGCCAGACTCATTGGCTTTCATACCTTTAACCTTTTTATTAAAGCGTTTCTGCTTTTGCACATCCCTGTTCTCCTCTCTACTCTCCTTGGCCTCCTCCAGAGCCTCCTCACTGCCCCACACCTCCAGAGAGCGCTTTACCACCTTAATGTAAAAAACAAAAAAGTAATTATACAGTATTCATACACAAGCAAAAATCAACAAACCAAACCAAACCAGCAATATTCATGATAAAGATGCATGACATGGTAACACTTTATAATAAGGTTTAAATTGTTAACTTCATGCATTAGATATCATTACAATGAAAAAAATATTATTTTTTATTATTTATTAATCAAGGTTAGAGTTAATTTATAAATACAATAATGGTCATTATTATTACATGTTTTCTCATAATACATTAATATAAATGTATACAAAATTAGAATTTAAATTAGAAGCATACATGTTGTTTGGGGTCAGTAAGACGTTTTTTAAAAATAAATAATTCTTTTTTTTTTAGCAATGACATTAAATCATGGCTCCACAAAAATATTAAACAGCACAACTTTATAATAAGAAATGTTTTTTTGAGCAGCAACTCAGCATATTAGAATGATTTATGGAGGGTCATGTGACACTGAAGACTGGAGTAATGATGCTGAAAATCAGCTTTGCATCACAGGAATACATTACATTTTCATATATATTGAAACAGTTATTATAATTTGTAATAATATTTCACAATATAATTGTATTTTTGATCAAATAATGCAGCTTTGATGATCACAGGGACTCCTTTCAAAAACATAAAAGCATTATAAATGATAGAACAAAGAAATTAACCAAGATTAATAAATGCTGTAAAAGTATTGCTCATTATCATTTCATGCTAGCTATTGATTAACAAAAGTTATTGTATAGAACACTGCTGAAAAGTGTACTCATAATATAATAAATTTGATATTAAAGATTAGGGAGTGAGAGAGAGAGAGAGAGAGAGCGCACGAGAGAGCGAGAGAGAGAGAGCGCGAGAGAGAGCACGAGCGAGCAAGAGAGCGCGAGAGAGCGAGAGAGAACGAGAGAGAGAGCGCGAGAGAGAGAGAAAGCGAGCGAGAGAGAGAGCGCGTGAGCGAGCGAGAGAGAGAGCACACGAGAGAGCGAGAGAGAGAGCACGCGAGAGAGAGATAGAGCACGAGAGAGCGAGAGAGAGAGAGAGAAATAATGATCTTTAAAAAAGCATCATATGACCCCTTTAACTTGTCACTCAGAATTATAAAGGATGTTTATTGGGCAGGAAAAGCTGTTATGAAGGACTTTTTTGTATTTTTATCATTGAGTTTTATATATATATATATATAGAGAGAGAAGAGAGAGAGTGAGAGAAAGCAAGAGAGAGAGAGAGAGAGAGAGAGAGAGATCAGAGATGACATTTTTGATTACCTGGTTGCTCAACCACTCTCTTTTCCTGCTGCTCATCCTCTGTTGTCTCCTCTTCAATAAAAAAGCCTGCACCTGAGTCTATAATTTTGGCCACTTTAGCACATGTAGCTCCTGAGGGAAGACACCCTAGTATATCATAAACTTAGCTACACAATCTTAAACAGGTGAAATTCGTGCAAATTCTGGCGAACCTTCTGGAGCTGAAGATGGTCTACTGGCGAGCCTGGCTTGTCTGAGCATTAATGCCCGTTGTCTGTTCCGTTCAATTTTGGCCAACATGTGCGGTGTTAAGGACACACTGGAAACATTTGAAGAGTTTGCAGCATCCGGCGGTTCATCTTGAGAATGACTGGCTTCTGGCACATCCATGATCAGTCTATATGTACAACACCAGTTTGGACACATTTAGTCATTCATTCATTTTACAATAATAATCAGTAAGTAATAAAAAAAATATTCATACAAATAAAAAGTTAGCTGAGAACAAAAAAAAAAAAATGTTAACAAGCAACAACCACAATAATTAAGATAAATATAAATAAATGAACGAATAAATAAATACATACTTAAAATATTAGAGAAATCCCAAATCAAATGTAATATATTATAAATCTATAGTGATAATAATATTATTAGTATATATAGTATAAACTATTATTGGTTACTGTATCACCTAATATAAGTTAGGGAATTATATCGTGACCAAAAATCTAAACCTTTTAAGCATTTAACGTTAACCACTATCGAGAAGATCAATATGAATGAATAAGTAAATTAATAAATGCATTAATAAAATACTAGAGAAATCCCAAATCAAATGTAATATTTTAAATTTAGAATGGTAACAATATTATATGCACATAGCATAAACTTAAGTTCGTTACTTTAATCCACAAGATCAGTATGAATAAATATATAAATTAATAAATACATAAAATATTAGATAAATCCCCAATCAAATATAGTGCATATTATACATTTACAGTGGTAATAACAACATGTAGGTTGGCTAACGTTACTATAATACATAAAGCAAAGAGCTTGAGACTTCCTACCGACAAGGAGTCTATAAAGCGATGTCTTACCGGAAACTTTGTTTTCTGTTTTTATAGTTGGTCCAAGAAGAAATTAAATGAAATCTTGAAAATGTCAGTCCAGCGTTTCAGTTTAATAAGCGTGATGTAATGAACTATGTTGTTTGTGATGTTGTTCTTCTCCTCTTGAATGTTTTGCACCGCCAGACCAACATCGCCATCTAGTGAGTCTTTTGTGGAACCACGTTGAGAAGGAACGCATTACATTGCATTATTATTATTCTATGTCTATGATCATTGCGACCGAAACCTCTCATTTGAAGAGTTTGCATCATCCGGAGACCAATGTTATTCACTTAGAATACTTATTGTTATTCAGAACAGTATTTATATTTCGTAACCAAAAACACATATACAATGCATGTTATGATTTAATTTCTTGAAGCATTTTTACACTGATCGATCTTTTAGAAAGGATGGAGAAATAGCATTCAACAACTGTTTTTCACCCAAGGTGGCAAATCAATTTGTTTTCTTGAGACTGACCAGGGCACACTACAGTTGAAAAGAAAACAAGTGCTTCCGTTGTTTTTGTTTTTATGAAAATGACCATTTATGTGAAAGTAGCTATATTTTTAAAGATGTGTGAAAAGTAATGGCTTTTAATTAGTAATAAATTAATTAGCAAATCAACACAAATCAAGTACAAAGGTCGCTGTCAATAGACATCATTTACTTTTAATAAATGCTCAAATAAATGGACATGGACGTGCTTCAATACTTCTGTCGGTGGGCAGCAGAGAACAATCTGAAGTTGTTCCTGAGATTGCCCAACATGATGATCGCATATGGGTCAATTCAGCACCTTGGAGGAGAGCTGGCACTCTGCTGGCCCCAGGGCCATGCCAATAGCTGAGAGAAGAGCTCTGAACATCCTCAGCAAAACAGTGACCGATATAATGATGGATATCGTCAATCAAGCCACTGAAAATCCTCTGCGGGCTGCTGAGATAGTCAGGCAAGGTACAGTAATACATGCTGTTTTCATTCACTTAATCTAAACAAAGTTCACCTCTGAAATAGTGACTTATCAGAGAGGTCACTATCAGTGTCTGTATAGAGACACCAATCCCATAACTGGATCAAACAGAATATGACGAAACGCTTAAAATATTAGGTAACGTATAAAAACAAAACAAATGCATTAATTAATTAATTAATGCATTTGTTTTGTTTTTATACGTTACCTCATATTTTAAGCATTTCATCATATTCTGCGGGAATATTTAAAAAAAAAATAAAATACATGGCTGTTGTATAAAAAAAATTTTTTTTATACAACAGCCATGTATTTTATTTTTTTTTTAAATATTCCCGCAGAATATGATGAAATGCTTAAAATATGAGGTAACGTATAAAAACAAAACAAATGCATTAATTAATTAATTAATGCATTTGTTTTGTTTTTATACGTTACCTCATATTTTAAGCATTTCATCATATTCTGCGGGAATATTTAAAAAAAAAATAAAATACATGGCTGTTGTATAAAAAAAATTTTTTTTATACAACAGCCATGTATTTTATTTTTTTTTTAAATATTCCCGCAGAATATGATGAAATGCTTAAAATATGAGGTAACGTATAAAAACAAAACAAATGCATCAATTAATTAATTAATTAAAAAAAAAAAAATTTTTTTTATACAACAGCAATGTATTTTATTTTATTTTTAAATATTCCAGCAGAATATGATGAAATGCTTAAAATATGAGGTAACGTATAAAAACAAAACAAATGCATTAATTAATTAATTTAAAAAAAAAATTTTTTTTGATACAACAGCAATATATTTTATTTTATTTTTAAATATACCAGCAAAATATATTATGTATGTATATATACACACAACAGCAACATTTTTATTTTACTTTATATTTAAATTTGTTTGATACAATATCAATATTTCTTTATTTTATTTTATATTTTTTAATACATCAATATTGTATTTTATTATTTTGTATACACAAGCAATATTTACATTTAATTTTTTATATAATAACAATATTTTTATTTTTATTAGAATCTATTTTATTTGTTGAATACAATCACAATATTCTTATTTTATTTTCATTTTATTTGATACAGCATCAATATTTTATTTTTTATACATCAAATTTTTTATTTTATTTTAATACAGCTGCAATTTTTTGTTAATATAAAATATGTTTTATGACACAACAGAATTATTTTATTTTATTTTATTTTAGACTTCGTGTCAGCCACACAACCTCAGAATTTAACAAACGGTTTAATTCCTGTTGTTCTTTTAGGGAAGAAATCAGTTGCTCAATCTACTGATGAGGAGCTGCATGAGTCAGAACGTTTGGGATGTAAATAATGTTTGAGAATGAGGTGCTTGGACCAAGTTCTGGAATAAAGTTGGAGGACCTTGATTCAGAACAGGAACTGTAGCTTGAAGATGTCATTTCTAACTGCTTTGAGGAGCTGTATGAGCTAAAAAGACTGAAAAGTAAAACTTCAAAGCCTGACATATACCTGAGAATGAGCTGTTCACACCAAGGTCTGGAATAAAGAAAAAGACCTTCGATTCAGAACAGAAGATGGAGCTTGAGGAGGTACTTGATGAAGCTCCATTTGAAAGAAGGAGAAGAAATAACTGAAGCCTCTCAAGGTTTAACTTTGCCATTTCATTTTGTAGAGAGTGTTGTTGACGGCCTGCTTGCAAAACTTGATCTTGCTGACATTTTTGGCATTAATCTTTCTGGATGCTCTTGTCTCCAGTCTGGTAAAGGGACTAGCAAACCTGGCAAGAATTAATGTTGCTATCTGCAGCCTTAGAAATAAGTACTTTCCTGATGAGAATGATATTGTTTTACAAATTGTAAATGAAGCTCACAGCATCCTGGTGCATAAAACTCTTCTTTTTCAAAAGCAAGGCTAGTCAGCGAGTTGGCCCATGTCCTTGAAAAAAAAAAAACATTTGAAAATTTGAACCTGAGAAACATTAATAAAAAGTGTTTATTTGTTAAAAAAAAAAACACATTGATGTGCCTTTTATCTGAACCACGACTTCTCTATGTAGAGTTTCATATGTTTAGGAGAAGAATGCTTCTTATTATTTACAAGTAACATGCAATTACAATGCAAAAGACCTATACACAGCTGTTTTCCTACCTACATAATTTTAATTTTTTCTATAATTTTATATAATTCAGGCCAACAAACTCTCTCTAACCATTAGGCCACGGCTGCCCCTCGTCGTGCCCTAAGATAGGCTTTCAAGCTATTTAGTAATTGTATTGTTTTTTTATTTATACATTTAAAACGTTTTTATTTATTTTATAATTATTTAATTAGATAATCTTGTTACATATATTTATATAGTATACTTTTATATCTTAAGGTATGCTTTCAAAATATTTACATGAAGTAGTTTTATGTTTTTCTTTGATTTATGAATGTAAACGTTTTTATTATTTTTATATTTAATTACAAACATAATATTTAACGCAAATGTTTCATTTATTTATATACTATTATATCTTAAGATGCGCTTTCAAAAGATTTACATTAAAGTACGTTTTTTATATTTATTTTATTAAACAAAAATATTTATTTATTTCTGATTTACTTAAAACGTTAGTGTTTTTCTTTATTTGATTTATGTATCGTATGTCCAGTAGGTGGCAGAGATGCACCCCGAGTTAGTTTGCCAACCGCCAGTACAAAAGTAGTAGAAGAAGAACTTCGCTCATATATAAGGTAATAACAACCTTATTATAAGGTCTCTATTTAAGCATGTGGGTTGTCTTTTTGGAAACGTAAGTAAAAGAAATACTTTACAGACAGACTCTAGAGAGACCCTGTGAAGAGGGACTTGTGTTAGCCTGTGAAGAGGGACTTGTTGAACTATGCCCTGTCGTGTCATCCGGGTTACACTGCTGCTCTCTGCTGGAATACTGATTGATGTGATTAAAGGCGATGGGTTTACTGAAGACATTAAGCCTCCAGACTGGAGAAAGACCTTAAAATCCATCCGGAATGGGGTTCATAAAATAGACAAATACCTTAATATGGCTTTGGATTTTATCGGAGGTTCAGACGGACGGTGTATTTTTAAGTGCAATGACGGTAAGTTAGGTAAGTTTAAAAGAGATTGGACATCAATAACAGAAACATTTTGTGAAGAACAAATTAACATATTCTAGAATTAAATGTACACCCTCCTCTTCATATAGTTTAACTGGAAGAAATACTTTACAGACAGACTCTAGAGAGTTAGCCTGTGAAGAGGGACTTGTTGAACTATGCCCTGTCGTGTCATCCGGGTTACACTGCTGTTCTCTGCTGGAATACTGATTGATGTGATTAAAGGCGATGGGTTTACTGAAGACATTAAGCCTCCAGACTGGAGAAAGACCTTAAAATCCATCCGGAATGGGGTTCATAAAATAGACAAATACCTTAATATGGCTTTGGATTTTATCGGAGGTTCAGACGGACGGTGTATTTTTAAGTGCAATGACGGTAAGTTAGGTAAGTTTAAAAGAGATTGGACATCAATAACAGAAACATTTTGTGAAGAACAAATTAACATATTCTAGAATTAAATGTACACCCTCCTCTTCATATAGTTTAACTGGTAATGGGATTTGGCTCTTTATAGGGTACACACCGGTTCCTCGTCCCAAATACAAATCACCTCCACCCAACGGATGCGGCTCCCCTCTGTTTGGATTTCAGGTGAAGACGACAACATGCAGTTACTTAGTGTTTTAGTGTCATATTGCTGTATTGTGGCTTTCACTTATCTGTAGTGGGAAACTGAAGTGATTGCTTCTCTAGTTTGAATGTTGCTTACTCTTTTAATATTCTCTCGCCTGACTTGTGTTGTGGTTGACTGCAGCTTGATATTGGGATCCCATCTATGACCAGATGCTGTAATGAGCACGATCTGTGCTATGATACTTGTGGGAGAGAGAAAAATGACTGTGATGAGCAGTTCCAGGTCTGTCTGGAGTCCATCTGTAGTAATTTACAAATGACACTGGGCTTGTCCCAAAGTGTTCAAGGTAAGTTAAAACAATTTAACGTGGAAGTCTGTCCTAACTGTATGTATTTCACAAAAACAATTATATTTTAACTTGACAGTCTTTCTAACGACATCCTACTGTATTTCTATGTAAATTGCTGAGATCTACCTTTATACTCATATTTGATTTCGCAGCCTGTGAATCAGCAGTGACTTTGCTCTTTGATACGGTCATGCACGTGGGATGTAAGCCTTACCTGGATAGCCAAAGATCATCCTGCATTTGCCACTATGAAGAGAAGGCTGATCTGTGAACAGTTAATATATTTATGTTGAAGTTTGATTGTGTGTTATGGTCTCAGGGTACAGCAAGATGCAATACAATTTGTTTCTTTGCTTTGTATGACACATCATTGCAATGTCAAAGTAAACGTTGCATTTTTTAAATTACAAAAGTGAAATTATTTAATATGATTATAAATATATACTGATGTGCCTTTATTATATATACACACACACTACATTATATATATATATATATATATATATCAGATTGTAATATGGGATATTATTGTGATATGGGATAAAATAAAGATTTTAAACCCCAAAAAATTAACATTGCATGAAGTGACTTGTGAAAACCTTGATGAACCTATCATCTGAATCAGCAGACATACACTGTGTTCCGAATTATTATGCAAGTGACATCAATAGGATTTCGGTACAATAAAGAGTCAGATTTTTGTTTGTGTTGTTTTTCACATCTTTTTTCACATTTCACATTATTACATAATTAACCCGGAATGGCAAAGAATGGTCATAGCAAGAAGAGCTTCAACAAATCAGAATTTTAATATAAAAACCAATGAGTAATAGAGTGAGCCAATGGATATATTATGCAGTGCACACAGTATTATTACAGTATACAGTATGTCTTAGGTATGTCCAGTAACAACTATCTCACACACAAAAAAGGTTCTAAACTAGTATATTTGACATGATTTGTATTCTCTCTCTCTCTCTCTCTCTCTCTCTCTATATATATATATATTATTATTACATACTCCTGCATGAAACAATTTAAGCGGGAAACTATGCAGGTACTTATTTATTGACTGGAAGTTGATTGGATTGTCTACACTTTTTTTTACAACAAGGAATCATTTCATAGTAGGGCTGGACAATAATTCAATATCAATATATATATATATATATATCACAATATTTTTTTCAATAATGGTCGGTGATATGATTTTTAAACATTTCAGATATTTCAATATACACATTACCAGTGTTTCCCAAACATTGATTTATTTGTAGCGGCTCCACAATATCACCACTGATCGCCACAAATAGATTTTCCAAAAGGCGTTTGACTTCTTTGAATAAACATGAGCACTGCACGTTTCAAAATCAAAACGCAGAGGGGCTGTTTTATATAAATGTATCTTTAAAGGGAATCGACTGTCTTCAGAAAAGCTTCGATGGCATTTTCATTTTATCTGACAAAGTAGCGTTTATGAGCGCAGCGCTGCTTTATTTATAGCCGTTACCGTGGAAACCGCTGTATTTCTGATGTTCCAAAAGCGCCTCCTACTGGCAGAGAATGAATGTGCATTTTCAATAAGCCCGTCTCCAGCAACATGTTTTTGTTGTTGATCACACTTTTTTTCTGTTTTCTCCAGCAACTCTGAGCACTTTTCATATTGTTTATCCTGGATGAAGCACTTTTGTTTCAATCTATAAGAATAATCAGCCTATGCTATAGTTTAAAGTTAAACATAATAAGGGGAGTCTGAGAGTCTTATGTTTATTTGATGTGATTTCACATTTCGTTTGTATGAAACCTAAATACAAATAAAATGTGAACATTACTTTTTTTGTACCGTTTTTAGTTCTAAAATATTATGTAGTTTTATAGGAGGAGGTTTCATAGACTTGGCAAATTAATTTTTCAGAAATCTGTAGGTACAGACATCAGTTGTGCTCTTGGCAGTTTTTCCTGAGGCTTTTTAAAAATTGTTCATATCGATATTGGAATTATATCAACCGAAATTAAGAAATATATTGTGATATAAATTTTGGCCATATCGTCCAGCCCTACTCTGGATGTAAAGATCTTGGAGGTTGGGCAGGGGGGAACCAGTAATCCTCTCAGCAGTCCTGACTGTCCGTTGTAGTCTCTTGATGTCTGATTTGGTAGCTGAACCAAACCATATCGATATTGGAATTATATCAACCGAAATTAAGAAATATATTGTGATATAAATTTTGGCCATATCGTCCAGCCCTATTTAATAGAAGATTTATTTTTTATTTTTTTTTTGGAATATTATAAATTTTTTGGAATATTATTGAACAATCATTGCAGAATAAGGCCAGGAACTTGCATTAAGCATGTAAATAGTATCCATTTAGATTTAATGTTGACTTTAAATATTTACAGAAATATATTTTAAATATTTATATCAAAATTAAAGACCTCTAGAATGTAAAACTTTCAGTTTCTTTTGAGAAAAAAAAATAGCATTAAACACTAAAACAGTAGAATCAATTGTTTTTGGATGTTATTTTTTAAATTCACAGTTAAACCTAGAATGAAAGAAGGCAGGTTTTAAGATAACAACAACAAACCAGTCTAGAGTAATAATGTGCTACGTCTAGTTCAGCAAAGTCTGGGCAATAAATGAACAGCAGTATGAAGAAAACATTGTAATTCTTTGTAATGTGCCTGTTGATCATGTACCAATCTGAGAACTGAGGTTGGTCAATCATCTTCTTTTAGTTCCTCCAAAACCTGCACCACAAAACACCATAAATAGATCTCATCTCCAAAATACACATGTAAATGACTTATAATGACTTACTCATGGCATTATGCAGCCCAGTACACAGTGACATTACAGGAGGGAATTGTGCTTTGAAATAAACAAGAACACATCTGACATCTTTAACGACACTTGCTGTAGTTTACCTGATGCTGTCCGTGTTCCTGAGCTTGTTTTTGGTGCTGGAGAAGGTCGGTTGGTGTAAGATGGTCCTGTGAAGCCCATGGGTGGCTGGCGTCTAACATCAACATGAAAGTCAGGTGAAGACTGAACTAAAAATTACTGCCTTTAGATTTACATTAATGCTATTGGCAGATCCTTTCTTACCAAAAAGGCTTGGTACCAAATAGTACCAATACCAATGCTGTTACATAAAAGATTCACTTTGATTTAGTGTGTCTTGAGATTTTTTTAAACCTAATAATAATAATAATAATAATAATAAAAGATTAACTAAGCCAACAATTCTAGTATTATGTTTAGAAATGATGTAGCCTTGCTGATTCAAACTGGATGCAGTTCCAACATTTTATTATTGTGTGGTTAAGTGAGTTCTACATACTGTAGAACAGAGATTATGAATGATCCACAATGACAAGTTCAGTTTATTTTGGAAAATATGATAGCCTGTATTACACCACTTGAGAATATGATCACTTACTAGTCTTATGCACTGCATCTTATTTTTGTAACTTTGTAATTTTTTTTTTTTTTTGTAACACTTTAGTATAGTGACCAATTCTCACTATTAACCAGTTGTTTATTAGCATGCATATCACTAGCATTTTGGCTCTTACTAGTCTTATGCACTGCATCTTATTTTTGTAACTGTAATTTTTATTTTTTTTTGTAACACTTTAGTATAGTGACCAATTCTCACTATTAACCAGTTGTTTATTAGCATGCATATCACTAGCATTTTGGCTGTTTACTAGTACTTATAAAGCACAAATTCTACATGACCTTATTCTACATCCTTAATCCAAACCAATACCTAAATTTAACAACTACCTTACTAACTATTAATAAGCAGTAATTAGGAATATATTAAGTCGTAGTTAATAGTTGGCTAATAGTGAGAACTGTACCTTAAAATAAAGTGTGACCTGTGTGTAATGTATCTATTTACTTTATGTATTCAGGAATGTAACCACTGTGACCTTTTGACTTGACTACCCTTCTAGTATTTTACATTTCAGGGATATTTATCTTTGACTACTTTTAAATTTTTTGTTTCCACATTTCTTTTCAGACCTCACATTTGTTGAACTGTATGCTTTATCAGGAAACTAAATAAAGTTCATTAAAAAATGTAGCCTTGATACTTTAAAGTGCTTGCTATAAGTAAATTATGTGAGAATATGTTGCTTGCTTACCTCTGATTGCCAAACAAATATCCCAGAATTCCACCTGTGCCCATTCCAGTCCAGAATCCACCCCCACCACGTCCACCAGTGTTTCCACCAGTGAAACCAGTCCAAGAACTCTGAGGTCTGGTGTACGCATCAGAAAAGCCGTACCTGGGCTTTGAGCTAGACTGATCTGCTGAGAGAACCCACAAAACAGGAAATATTATACACTCCCCATAAATAAATATGCAAATATTATGGATATTTGGTTACTCTTCGACTTTCAATGTCATCACTAACCCGACTCGAGTCATTCAAAAACTGTTTGCTTACCAACATTCTTTCAAAATAACTTATTTTTTTGTTCCACAGAAAAAAAGAAAGCCATACAGGTTTGGAATGACACGAGGGTGAGTAAATTATATAATTTTCATTTTTGGGGGAACGATCCCTTTAAATCTATAACAATGAAGAATGGAATCAAACTGAAACTTCTCACATTACACGTGTTAACACTTACTGTTTCAGACAGATAGAATGGTAGAATGTTAGATAGATGGATGGATGGATGGATGGAATGGTAGAATGTTATAAAGATAGATAGATAGATAGATAGATAGATGGATAGATGGATAGATGGACAGAATGGTAGAATGTTATAAAGATAGATAGATAGATAGATAGACAGTCAGAATGGTAGAATGTTATAAAGATAGATAGATAGATAGATAGACAGTCAGAATGGTAGAATGTTATAAAGATAGATAGATAGATAGATAGATAGATAGTCAGACAGAATGGTAGAATGTTATACAGACAGACAGATAGATTCATTGATTGATTGATTACCTGAGTAATAATCTGGTTTGAATCCAGGTGGTGGTGGCTCCATGCCATGACTGTTATCCCCGGTCCCGGGGTATCCCTGGGATCCATCTCCATGGTAACCTTGGTGGCCGTGAGTAGGACTGCACAGAAACTTCTTGTATACAGCATATGCTACCAGCAAAAGGAAAGCTACCACTATAAGCCCACCCACTCCGTCACCAGACGGTCCGTTCTGGAAGGGATACTGGTTGTTGGACTGCTGATAGTGGCCTCCTCTCTGCTGCTGCTTTTGATTGGAAAAGCCTTGGAAGAAGTTTGAGGCAAAGTCTGAGAAGCCAGACGTGCCGTGCGTGTGCTGCTGCTTCCCTTCTGCTGTGAGCTCCAGCGTGTACTCCAGACCGCATGAGCCTCTCAGCACATACGCGTCATTGGGACTGTTATAGCCCTCACAGGAGACCTCCACACGCCCAAACCTGTACACGTTGTCCATGTCAGCCTTGCATTCCCACTACAAAGAGGGAGAGAGTAATACTATGAAGAGTTTCTAGGCTTATTATATGCAAGAGGCAATTTTTGTGCCTTACCTGTGTGTCTATGCCATCTGATCCTCTGTTGTAACACTGGACCACCTCAGGAACAAATGATCCGCAGCCAGCTGATCCTCCAACACACTGCAGCTGTAGAACAGGACTGGAGCGACGTGCAGTGGTGTAGCGTCCTCTGTGGAGGGTGAGAACCTGAACATCACGCAGTAACACAGCCTCTGTTGCTGGAAGAAAAGATTTTATTATTATTTCTATCTATCTATCTATCTATCTATCTATCTATCTATCTATCTATCTCACACAAAAGCACCATATGCCCTCTTTAAGATACAAAGATTTTATACAATATTTAATTTATATTATACTTTAATTTTTATGTTATTTATATTTAATATTTATTTTTTTCTTTCTGGTTTGCATTACTTACGGTATATTTGATATTTTTATTGTTTTATATTACATATTTTTATTATAATTTTGGCCACACACACACAAAATGTTGTTTCACATAAAAGTAGTGCCAACTGTCCTCTTAAAGATAAATATATAACAAGCAATTATTTATATATGTTTTTCCTTTCTTCATATTATTATTATTACTATTAATTACATATATATCTATATCTATCTTTATATATATATATATATATATATATATATATATATAGAGAGAGATATATAAATCATCACACTTTTGTTAAATTTCTCAGAAAACAAGACTTCATATTTTAATTTTGCATCTTAAGTAAATGCATCTTGATTTAGACAGACATATATATATATATATATATATATATATATATATATAGACAGACAGATAGATATCATATTAGCCACACCTCCCAAACTAATTTTGTATTACATAAAGGTCCTAACTGTCCTCCCTGTACATACATTACAATAATTTACATAATTCTTTTACATTTTCCTTTCTTCTTCTTATAAAATATTAATAACTCATCATCACATATTTATAATATATCATATTTGCCACACCACCCAAACTAATTTCGCATTACATAACAGTAATATTAGTCAAATATTATCACACAAATTTATGTTAATATTGGACACACCTACAGAACATTTGGTATGAAAAACGAGTATGCACTTTAAGATCGAAATGAACAGAAATGAACAAAAGTTAACTTCCTGAGTCTCAGCAGAGTAACAACATCCACCAAAGCTGCGCATTAAGAGTGAAACTTCAAAAAGTATGTCTAATGCGAACTCATTTTACTCAGACTGAACCATCCATCTTCTCTGATTTTATTATGATTGTTTGTTCATCTTTTACCATCATTCCAGCAGCTGATGTGAGGCACAATCAACAGCAAAAAGTGAAGAAACAAAACTCCAGAGCTCTTCATTTCTCCCGTTATGATGGAAAATCCTCTTCTTTAGCCTTGAGATGGACTAAAATGTCTCACTCTAAGCCAGTACGTGGCTTTTACCAATAAGTGAAAATAAAGTCTGATGTAAACAAGTGTCACTAACCGCTCAGTGCAACGTCATTCTTTTCACACTTCCGCTTCCGTGTTTATACAGATTATACAGATGAACCTTTGAGCCATCTACTGACAGGTACCTCGAATTACACACCATTAACCTCCAATAATAAAGCGAAAAAGGTTTTAGACTGACAAAATGTTGAGAAAATGCAAGTTTCTGTTGTAATAGTAACTTTTGTATCCTCACTCAAAATATTAGTTACCACTTTTCCATTCGAGTTAACATTAACTGTGTTAAATCACACCTGTTTGCACTGAACAGCTGTAATCTTACTTTATAACCACCTATTTCTTTATTTTATAAGATAAAAATAACTATATATCTTTATTTAATATTATATACTATAAAATAATGTCATCTCTGCAGTGATATTTATTGTTTAATTTCACAAACAAATTTTTGTTGGGGAAAAAAGACAACATTAAAGGGTTAGTTCACCCAAAAATGAAAATTAGCCCATAAATTACTCACCCTCAAGTCATACAAGGGAATATGACTTTCTTCTTTCAGACGAATCCAGTCGGAGTTATATTAAAAATGGTCTTTGATCTTTCAAGCTCTATCGAGGAGACTGGTTTTCCTTTGCTGAAGTAAGGAAACTTTGCTTCCTTTGCTCCTGTTAACAAACGTTGGTTTTCACAAGACTCACCGGTGCATGCGCAACGCTGAACTCTTACGTCATCCTCTCGGAGCTGCTTCCGTGTAGGACTGTTGGCGCAAGCTACATTAAAGTGATTATTACGTTTTGAATATGGATATTTTTCTTACAAAAACGCATAGATTCGCTACAGAAGGCCTTTGTTCACCCCCCGGAGCCGTGTGAGACACTTTTTTTATGGATGGGCACTTTTTATTTAACTTCTTTTGGACTGAAGCAATGCAACACCCGCTGAGTGCCATGAAACAGCTTGAAAGATCAAAGACAATTTTTAATATAACTCCGACTGGATTCGTCTGAAAGAAGAAAGTCATATACACCTAGGATGACTTGTGGGTGAGTAATTTATGGGCTAATTTTCATTTTTGGGTGAACTAACCCTTTAACTTCAGCCAAATTTTTTTATTGTCCCTACCACGTTAAAATGTTACATTATCAGAAATGATTGTTTTAATGGTTTTGCAAGCTAAAACTTTTGTATTCTTCATTTCTCAAATTTAACTGATATTTCCTCTTCTTCCTCCTATGTAATATTAATAATATATCATCACATATTTGGCCACACCCTTCAACAATTTTGTAGGCAATTACATAAAATTGTATTAGTAAAATTATTAAAAGTATTAATTTCTCAAAAGGATGTTTCACATCACAAAACAAAGTTTAGGCATTTAAGCTCAAAATGAAAATTCTGAATAATTCCCCCCAAGAAATTCATAAATACAAATACTTCAAGTAATACTGCTTTAGTGTAAGTTTAGAAATAATTTTATTTTGTCCATCACTCATGTAAATACACAAATTATGAATGGATAGATACATATGTATTTAACTAAGAATAACGGTCAACTGTTTGGTGCTCTATTCCTTTAGCACTTTCACTTCCAAATTTCATCCCATCATCCAAAATTATTTAAGACAGGAATGAGAGATACAGGCGGGGATGAATGATCATTAAAGAATTCTGCAAAGTGTGCCATACAGATCTACTCACATTGACACCAGCTGGCAGTCTGTAAATGAACATGAGCTCAATAGTCTAGACAGATGATGATGATGATGATGACGAAGACAGCACAAGAAATGACAGCTTCTGCTGTAACTGATTGTGAACAGAGAGTGATAACTGGTTTTCCTCTACAAGCAGAGAATGTCTTGCACTATTCATTCATTCACTGGATTTCGCCAAACAACTCACACCAAACAGAGAATAAACATATAAAATATTGCATTTACAAATAACATAAATAATGTGTTTACTTATATTAAATAATAAAACGAGTGCTCCAAATCTTTCGAGTTGTATACTGATTATTTGCAGTTCTACACTCAAAAAATAATTGAGCTTAAATTTAAGACTTATGTATTGAAATTGCATATCAAATTTCCATCCATGTGGATTACACAGACTTAACGTAAACTAATAAACTTAATGTAATGCATATTTGTAAGTCATATATAAATGAAAAGAAAAGGGTAAGATTTCTGCACTAAAAAACAAACAAACATGGCATAGTCATGACTATTAAATAATTGCATCTACAGTATTTCATTTCAAATAGCTTAGAATCAGCATAAATCTGTTCATTGTGGAAACAATTACATTTATTCCGTTAAAAAGTATGGACATGGTTAAAATATGGATAGCTATGAAACAAGCAATATTCAGTTAGTTAAAATATATGAGGTTGAAACAAATTGGATTTATCGATAAATAACTAAACCTGGTTATTCTGTATTTTTATAGTACAATTATTTAGTACTATAAAATGTATTAGTACTATTACAGAAATCTTGTTTTAACTTGTTTCATTTACATATGACAGACAAATATGCATCAGTTTCATTTTAGTATCCCTATACTATTACCGTTTTTTTTTTTATATTTTGAATTCGTTTTTACTGTATTTTCCATTTTCAGTTTCATATTTGAGTATTTTTGTTGTAAATTGTCATTTTTTAAATTATTGTTTTTTATTTCAATTTTAGTTTAATAGTTTTAGTTAGTACATTAAGTTAAACAAAATTTTGCTTTGGCAACTAGCTGAAATAAAATAAGTTTACGTTTTTAATATTTTATTTTATTTCACTGAACGTTTATTTTATTTAAAGTAACTTTTTCTCTTTTTTTTTAGTTTACGGTAAAACGGTGTAATCCAAATGGATGGAAATTTTATATGCAATACAAATACATAAATCCTAAATTTAGTTGTTTTTTTTTTGAGTGTAGACTTCTGAAGACTATGTCTACAAGTCTATTCAATAAATGATATGATATACTCAGAATGAAATTGCTCAAGTAACAACCAGAAAGGACCAGCGTCTAGACAAAACAAATATGGAGCTTTGTTTCCTCAAGTTGTTGTACAACACAATGCTTATGATATCATGAGCTTTAAAGCACAGTACCAGGATCTTGATTTATTTATTATTGCATATTTGCATCAAAGGTCATTCCTGAGTCTGTAGACATTCCCCATAGATGTCCGCCTCTTCATTGGATGTGGTGTCTCCTTGCTCTTAATGTCCAGCCTCTTCATGCAGCGTATTAAAAATGTCTAAAATCTACAGTACATCAAGTCTCCATGTACTGCTTTGGAGAGTGCATACAGAATAATGCACTACTTTCCCATAACAAACTACTGCTTGGAAAGCCCTGCTACTCAGACTTCAGTGGATATAAAGATGCAGTGCCACAACGCAGCTGCGGCCGAGCTCCCATGTTATCATTCGGATGCCCTGGAGTGCCTTCGGAGCAATAAAGAAGGGCCTGTTCCCAGAAAATGAACAACGGCGTGCAAGATAAAGGAATCAAATGGAGACCGGGCAGATAATGATCTTGTCCTCCAACATTACGCTGACAACCAGGAACACAAAGTAGAGCAGGAACATGAAGAAACCCAGCAGCTTGCTCATCTTCCACTTGCACACAGCGATGGAGATGATGACGAAAAGGAGCATGAGGAAGAGCAGAATGATGGCGCAGAACAGGCCGTTGCTGCTCACGGCCACTGAAGTCAGGTCGTTCAGGAGGGAAAACATTAGCCATGGAAATGGCAGGCTGGGGACGGTGAACAGACACAAGGAGATGTTTTACAGTAGGTAGTCAATAACATGATGGTTGTTGTGTTAATGATGAAGATCTCTCACCCTACAGTGATGTCAAATATGTTGGAGCCGACTGAGCTGGAGACGGCCATGTCGCCGAGACCCTTCCGGGCAACAATAACACTGGTGATGAGATCAGGAATGGAGGTACCAGCCGCTAGAATAGTCAAACCCATAATCTCCTCTGTGATTCCAATAGTCTCACCAACCTGTGGGAGAAATTTGCATTGGGTGTTTAATGTGCTCAACAATTCACCACAGTTTGTACTAAAATACTATGATAAAACTGTGTTGAACTTGGTGTTAGCCTGAGCTGTCATTAAAGAACAGCAGGAAGGAGATCCTACATTAATTCATTCATTTATTATGATTTTACACTAGTAGCACTAGAGGTAACTGTAGTGATTTTGCCATTTTGGTGCAAACGTTGTAAGGGCAAATTGACATGCAAAAGACAGCAAAAAGTAGGCAGTAAAATTATTTTGCCTCCTAAGATCACAAAATCACATTGCTTTGGCCAAATCTCATCTATACTTTGTGGAATATGTAATCCAAGAAATCACTGCGATGAGCTTGGTGAAAAAATCCATCTAGGATAACAGAGGACGGATGAAGAGAGTGAAATGTTATTTATTAATCTAATCAATATTTATTTATATACTTTAATAGCACTTATTAATATCTTATTAGCTTTTATTTTTATATTTACAGGTTTCGTTTTAATTGTAAGTTTTAGTCTATTTTTATGTGCTTTCGTAATTTTTATTTTATATATCTACTTTTTTTTATTTCAGTTGTAGTTTTTTTATTTCAATGTTTTTTTGTAAGTTGTTGTTTTTTATTTTTTGAAATAAAAAAAGTTAAAAACTTTTGTAATCTAATATTTGTTTTATTTTAACTTTCAATAAAAAAAAAATGTTAAATCGTTTTTTAGTTTTACATAACAATAACAGCACTGTTCACTGAAAATGAAAATTGACATGGTACCATGATATAGCCATGCAAATGCCATTGTATACTGTATTAATATGTTATCATGTCAAAGTACCATGGCAGTACCTTTTTGCAAGGGCCTCACATACATTTCATTTTTCTAATTGATATAACCAATTAACCAATAATTAAAACTACAGTAGGTTTAGCATCTTATCCAGTACAATCCAAAAAGTCCAAGGTCAAATGTATTATATTTCAGTGGTTCTCAGCCTTTTTGACTCGAAGGCCAACACAATATTTTAAGGCCCCTCTATACAGATATTTTTGGTATTTCTTCTATAATTATTACAAAGTTGTCTGGTTTCAATTGGAAGTACTGATTTATCATGTTAAGTAACCACAATTCATTTAGTTATTTCTGAAGTTCTGGTAGACTGTAATAGTTGATTCTAGTCTCTCTGGAAAACCTGAAACATCTGACTGCAATGGGTTTAGATAAGTTGCTACAGAGGGAGCTGATGCAGAGCTAAAGAACAGTTGCCTCTAAGGGAAAAGACAAGAATAGCTTATTGGATTTGGGATTTGGCTGGTTCTGAATGTGCGGCGTTACAGATTTACAGCAGTGTCATAAGGAGAGATCAACCTTCACCTACGACTACCTCACACTGAAGATAACACTCCTCTTTCTCTCGCAGTTCTTTGGACTTTTTTTTTGGACATACAATATCAACTAGTGGTTCTCAGCCTTTTTGACTCAAAGGCCAACACAATATTTGAAGGCCCCTCTATACAGATATTTTTGGTATTTCTTCTATAATTATTACAAAGTTGTCTGGTTTCAACTGGAAGTACTGATTTATCATGTTAAGTAACCACAATTCATTTAGTTATTTCTGAAGTTCTGGTAGACTGTAATAGTTGATTCTAGTCTCTCTGGAAAACCTGAAACATCTGACTGCAATGGGTTTAGATGAGTTGCTACAGAGGGAGCTGATGCAGAGCTAAAGAACAGTTGCCTCTAAGGGAAAAGACAAGAATAGCTTATTGGCTTTGGGATTTGGCTGGTTCTGAATGTACGGCGTTACAGATTTACAGCAGTGTCATAAGGAGAGATCAACCTTCACCTACGACTACCTCACACTGAAGATAACACTCCTCTTTCTCTCGCAGTTCTTTGGACTTTTTTTTTGGACATACAATATCAACTACAGTATACCTAATTTCAGAGCAGAACAGTAAGATAAAAACATTGGTGAAAAAACTGCAATATAACAGAAAAGCTGTGTGAAACTGGTGTGTGTGCTATTGGTGAAGATGAGGTACCTGATGAGCCCACCACACCATCAGGTAAGAGAAAACAGCAATCCAACTAATAGATCCCAAAAATGTGAGCGGAAAGAACTTTTTTGATGTCTATGGAACAAGAGAGGATAGAAGGAAAAATGAGAAAGGGATGTCATGCTATTCAAATATTTACAACACAGCACCAAGCAGTCTGTTTGTTTCATCAGCCTGAAACTGGGCTTTAAAAGACACTTTGTTCAAATCTGTTCATTGTACAACATTGACGCTGTTATTGAACTGAACTGAATTAACATTGAGCTGAATAACGGGCCACTAATCGCTGAATTGAACTTGTTTCATAATTAATTTTACACAGTTATTGAACTGAATCAACACTGAACTTGAGCTGAATAATTTCACTATTGTCTTGTTAGAGCTGCTTTACAGTAAAGTTTTGATTTGTCTAATATTTGATGAAGTTTGCATTACTTTCCAGTTTAATACTGTGAAGCTACTTTGAAACAGTTTCTATTGTATAAAGTGCTGTATACAATTAAAGATGACTTGACAATTACACAGAAAGTGACAATGGCAAGATCGGCATTAAATATGTGACCCTGGAGCACAAACCAGTCTTAAGTCGCTTGGGTATATTTTTAGCAATAGCCAAAAAAAACATTGTATGGGTCAAAATTATAAATTTTTCTTTTATGCCAAAAATCATTAGGATATTAAGTAAAGATCATGTTCCATG